CCTTTCCGATGAGTGCCAAAAAGCGAACAATCTAAGTTCAGAACTTCCTGTCAATCACCTCTGACCAACTAACAAGTACAAATCATCTCAGACTGCTTTACTAACAGAATTTATATAGCATCATTTATATAGTTTATTGTCATCATAAACTTCAAAATAAGTAGTAACGTTGATGAGTATTCACCTAGGTAACACACCATTCTATAGTAACTTCTTTACTGTGATAATTGTTACCACATCAGAAGTCTAAAATATCTTTATTTTTCTGAAATACAGACGAAACAGATTGAGCTATTATTATCCACAGACAAACTATAAACAGTTCATTATGTCCAAAAAGTCAATGAATGCAATAAACTGATTGAGAGAGAGAGAAATTTAGCTTCCAGTTCGTCCGTTTGTTCATTGGTGTGTATGTGTATCTATGTATGTGTGCGTAAGTGTGAAAAATTTCATATATAAGCAATAATCATGATGATATCGGTGCACTGAAAATAGATTTTCTGGAATACTTAAAAAAACTGATTAGAAGAACTTCGACCAATCATCTAATGCACCTTATACATAAGTGATTGACGGAAGCATTAAAGATTAAAGTGATGTGATCGATTGGATGCGAAATACACCCTTTATTTTTCTGAAAAATTATAAAAAGTTGGTTAAAACAAGGATAAGCATCTATTCGACAACTCACTGTCAAAACTGTACATTCTTAAGTATATTTTACGAGGGAGAGAAAGTTACGGAGAAATTTATATTCAGCGTAAACTGACCAGTGAAGTAAGTTAGGCAAGTGAGTGCTGAAGTGTTACGTAACCCATGCAAAACCTCTGGAAACATAAGTAAGAATGGCGAATAAACATGGTAAACAAAAGAAGAAATACCACCCAATAATACCTTTATCTCATTTTTTTTTCTGGCAAATTACAACGGATATAAATAATTAAAAATTGAGAGGTGACAATTTGGAGGCCTTGGTAACGATAATGACTATACTGACTAAGTTTTAACGCATAGTTATACCTAGAATTTGTAGATTTCTGATGCTTTGGCTCCACAAAAATGTAGTATTCTCATACGCTTTCAAAGACTCATTTGGAATCTGTAAGAGATCGCAAATGAAATGATATCGTTTGTATTATCCCATTGTTGATTGGACCCGAACTGAACAGTCTCGATCCTCAAACGGGCCACTGCATAGAGGCCTCAATACTGTCCCTCGTTTCACTTTTATGCTAATGCAATGTAAACGTCTTAGTTCACATGATTCCTGTTCTGTTGAAGATAGCGCATTAGAGAATGTTACAAGTGTTATTTATCTCGATGCGTTTTTCTTCAAACCTTTCCTGGTCGTCACTTATCACATGAATTTATGAAAAGAGCTTCCTCCTAACTTCCCATATTAGGAAATAGAGTATCTGGTATTACTCAGCCTATTCTCTTTTGTTTTATAAACTCCTGAATCTCGCCTGTTCTCTCCGTTGATACCCTTATTTTTCATGAGGTGCTGAAAAAAGACTGTGCTACATTGCGTAGAACTTTGAAGACTGTCAGCAGAACTAGTGGAGTACCTCTTATCCATCTAGTTAAAACAGTTGTGGACAGATATGTTAACCCATGTAATACCTATTAATAATTCGTTTGTCATTTGGGTTCCTAGTGAAATGTAGGGCTTCAGTAGTACGTCTCCATTTCACTCTCTTCTTTACAGTCTTTTAAACCTGGCTCCACTACTGCCCACAAGCTTCCATTTCTTCATCACACCATGTATTCCAAATCACCCTCAGACTCACAACTCGTCGTTTCCCCTTTGGATTCCACTCGATGGCCTGGTCTGACGCATGATGTTCAATGCAATCCATATCCACTTTCTCCCACTGCATATTTGTTGGTCGATGGGTCCTTGCTCCGTCGGTTCGTTATCAGCCAGCCAGCCAGCCAGCCAGCCAGCCAGCCAGCCAGCCAGCCAGCCAGCCAGCCAGCCAGCCAGCCAGCCAGCCAGCCAGCCAGCCAGCCAGCCAGCCAGCCAGCCAGCCAGCCAGCCAGCTAGCCAGCCAGCCAGCCAGCCAGAGTTCCTTGTTGCTTATTTTATTATTCTGGTCCCTGATCTCCATCTTCAGTATCGAGAAAGCGCAGGCGGCAGCTGTTGATGACGTATGTCTATAGTCTGTTGAAAATGCTTTTCGTAACTTGCCAAGCCTCTCAACCATCACATAGAAGCACTGGCAGACTTGACTGATTTAGCGTTGAAAATCTGGATCTCGTTCACGCTTTATGCTGAGTACAGCTTAGTGCAGTGCGATAGATCTCCACACTGATTTCAGATTAATGAAGGCCTTTGTTACTGTCTTTCTCATCCTGTCTTTGACATCGTCGTCTGGGCCTATGCTGCCTCTATCTGTATTTGAAAAGATGCTGACTAGGTGGTAGGTGAAATGGACTACTTGCACTAGGTTACTGTCGTTCATGATGATTGGTGCTAGTTGTTGTTGTTGGTTGTGTATCTTCATCACTTCTATGTTTTCTACGTTCACCTGAAGGAAGTCCCATCTTCTCTTGCCCTTTTGCCGACCAGTTGGTTTTTCTCGTTGATCTTTTAGTGTCTTTTCATCGGTCCATTCAGTTTATGCCCCTCTAATCGCTCCTCATAACTTCTTACATTATCCAGTCCAGTCGACCACACTAATGAACGCCTTTGTTTCTGTCTTTCTCATCCTGTCGTTGATAACTTCATCTATAAACATGCGGCAGGAGTTTTTTTGTGAGATGACCAACGTCCTTTTCTCTCATTGCTCTCTGCGTGTCCGTTATCTGGAAAGGCGAGAAGTTTATAAAAACTCATGCATCTAGTACACAATAGAAATCTCTGCAGTACCATTTTTTGTTCGTTTCTTGTGCGACGAAGACAGTATCACAAATGAACTAACTAATCAACTTCTGTTTTTAAAAGCAGACGAATATAAGATGAACTTGTTACTTTTTATTTATTATGAATCTAATTACTAATGTTATTGTCTGCCTAAATTGACTTTGCATTTTAAAAAAGGTTTTAGATAGTGCGAATATTCTTATCTTATCTTCATGTAATTTCTACTTATTTTTTTTGCTGTGTATACATGTAGGCTGTCTCTCTCCAGTTAATACTATTCGAGACTCGTCAGCTGGATGTACCTGCCTCCGAGGAAGCGATATTTTCCCACTCACACTTGAATTAGAGACCGATAACTTCAAACGCCTCAGCTTTATTCACTAGACCACTAGGTCATGTCAGGGGCTTCTTGTGCATCAGATATATTTCATATTATGTTGCTTGGATTATCCAGTCAGTGGCTGTACTGAGCTCATTAGTCTTTATTGGCATTCGGTCCTGGTTTTGAGTCTAAGTAAGGAAGGTCATCGCTTACAGGGAGCGACGTGCATCCAGTTGACAAGTCTTAAATGGGATGAGACGTACCTACTTAGATTCTAATTCTAGCTACGACCCATCATCAATATCAGATCTTGAGAGATGTCTGGAATTCCGTAAATGCTCATCGATAAGACTCCAGATGGTCTTCTTTACATCCTTTAGTATTCAAATTGAATATTACTCCCGAGCACTTTTGACAAATGATCACATGGTTCAGTCTAGCTAATCGGCATTAAAAAGGTAAGTGAACTTAAAAATAAACAGTGAAGAGTCCTGAAATATCAGCTTGTCCTTCATACATGTTTGACTGATCTTTTGGTGTATAAAGATTGTCGTTAGACTCACAGAAAACTATTTTGCTTGATGACTTAAACAAACGTTAACCCAGTATATCAGTATCACCTTTCAATTCGACCTTCAGCAAAAACCAACTTTCTTTGGAGCCAGTTGGGATAGTTCACTAAACTTCTTTTCCTTCCTCGATGAATGACCATTCCGTAATGGAGTTTCTCAAAGACGTTCTGATTCATACTTCATGGTGTCATCAGAACACATCCTTATAAATGTTATGGAAACAAATCTTATGAAATCTCTCTCTTCCTGCTTTGACGTACCCAACTTTGGAATGTGTCAGCTGTTCGTTTCAATTACGTTTCCATTGATAGATTTCCAAATGGAATTATCCAGTTTTCCTTTCAAATTTGACATCAAGAAAGTGTAACTGTCGATGAATTGCTGAATGAGGATTTCTACGTCTTGTTCTTCATAAATAACGATAAAGTTGTTGTCTGTTTATCTTCTGTGTAACATAATTTGGTTTACCGTTTGAGGCATTAGCGTAAGGCAATCAGCCTGAAGCGGTCCAAGGAGCAATACCATCACTAGTTCAATCGCTTGTCAATCCATTTCGTTTTTAAATCTGAGAAGAGTTTTTTTCAGGTTACAATCAGGTAAACGAATGAAAGAAATGGTGCAAGAAAGAAATGGTTTTTGTTAGCTGATAAGTACAGACTGACCGATGCCACAACCTCAAATGTATCACAAAGGTTGTATTACAAAAGAAGTCATAATTTGCAGGGTCAACCAAATCGGATGTGATGGTAAATACTAAATGATGATAGTCGATTATATCACGGATTGATAAGAGTAGAGGGATGTTTATTACTGGATTACAACGCACTGGTTGAATGGTCATGTGATTCATCGCAAGAACTGAAGGTCCTACAGTCATCGGATCACACTGATGATGAGTCTCTTATTAGGACGAGACAGCTGCCCAGCTCTCTAACATTTTTAACGAATCTCTAACTAGTATCAGAAGGTGATGAATACCAACTTGAAGTCAATCAATCCATACAAAGTTCTCAAATTAATATAAAATTCAACTAAATAACTGAATAAATTGCATATGAAAACTGGAGAATTTAATTGATAAATATCAACTCAAATATTATTATTATTATTGTTTCTGTTTCATTCTATTAAAGAGGTGATGTCATTAACTGGATATTTTAGACGGTTTACTGTTCATGAAAACTGATGAACAGTTCAGAATGTTGTAATTTATTATTTTTCTTTCCTTACTGGATAGATAAACAGTCAAGCAAAGGTTTCAAGTAGTTGATGTGGATACATATGGTCAAGAGAACAGAAATGCTTAGTAGTGGTCATCTTCAGGCCTTATTATTGATGTGTGCTGCAGATGAGCTTACTCCTGGGACAAACTAAATTTTCAACTCATCTTTCTTCAGCATATAATCGATCAGTATTGTTCTGTGATATGAGTATCTTCACAAATGTCCAAAATGGCTGTTTTATAAACTTAAGAAACGCCATGTTAAGGAGGCCGAAATGGTGACTGTTTTAAACAAACTTTACAGTAAAATGATTTGTCATAATATACATGAAATCATGATTTTATGCAACAGTGACTCATTTAGGTTACATTTGAGAGCCTTACTATCAATCCTCCTGTTAGTGAGTGTGGAATGTACTTGTAAGTTCCTCAGAAACACTTAATATAAATTATGATGATTTAATTCCACTAAAACGAAGATGAGATACCGAATTCTTAGATATTCGATCAGATATACCTTCAGAGCGTTAGTTGAGTCCATTGGGCTAGTGGAATGAAGGATTCTAATCCTGATCGTAGAATATCAGATAAAAGCTAGTAAACTAACTGGTGGATTTGTTATCTTCCATCTAATAGGATAGCAAGAACACGTGTCGCTTATATATAAGCATTTCATACTTCTGTACAGCATGTTACTTGGTGTTCCTTGAGGCGTTAAGTATTTGCAATTGAATACTTCAAGCAATACAGCTCAAATTTGATCGTTATGCATCAAATATATCTATGATTCATACTGCTGTCATCCTTGAATTCATTACGAAATTGCATCTCATTTCTAGATTGTCGTGTCTTTACATTTCACTGAAGCTTTATCATTGAATTCATCTTCTTATTCCCGGTATTAGATGTCATTCATTGTGTCAACATATAGATGTATGAATACATGATATATTCGTGTCCCTTTTTAGCACACAGTTCGTATGCAAAATAATACCGATTCCTGAATGACTAAGCAGTCAAACAGCTTGAACTATTCATTTTGACATCCTTTAAATAGAATATAATGTTGTAATATTATACAAAGTTAACTTCTGGCTAACATTTTTGAAGTTATACACTTTAATCCTTTTTATTAACCTGATCTCAACGTCAGACTGTTGTTTTGTTGTCTTTCAACACATATCTTGAGTCTCTTCTGTGGATTTCTGATAAGATTCCATCTTTTGACATTGGCAGTTTGTAATAAAAAAAGGGGTCAGTTTCTACCTTATGGCGTATGTCTAAGTTAACCTTCCCACTTTCTAATAACTCTTCACTCTAAGGTCATAAAATGTCATCAAACCAATCAGTTTTCAGGACTCACATTTCTCATTGTTTGGGACTTGTCAGTTGGATGTACCTGTATCCCTGTATCCCAGTGAGTAATGTTGTTCCTACTAAAACTCGAGCCGCAGACTATTGCTCCGGATGCCAGAGCACGATTACCCAGGCTATCGAGTCATGGTAGCCACGGTAGCTGACAAATCTCAAATACGATCATCCTGGATTCCAGTGCTAGTCACAACCCATCATTACTATAACATTGAAATGACAGCAGCATCGGGGAAGCCATGCATGAGCCCATATGCCAATAGAAATCGGTGAGTTCGGTCTAATCAACCACGGGATAATACAAGCAACGCAATAAACAGTTTCCATTTGAAGGCTTATGGGGTTGATCAAGTCGATATTCATCCTGGACTGATATCAATTGGAGAACCATTGAAAAGGTGGGAGCACTACACGACTGTCTTCTTCTAGTATAGGACTCACCGTCAATAAGCACTAACGAACCCTTCAAGGACCAAATTTGGGACCTTAGAATTCTGTAGTGACCACGTTACTTCTGAGCCACTATGTTAGAACCCAGTGGTCAACATACTCCTACTTCTGTCCGTTCGCGACATAGTGCAACCACCAACCAATGCTATTTTACAATGTTTGTCCTCACATCCGAGTTGTCTGATTACACCAATCACAACTCATTAGAACTTTGGGAGATCTCTTCTCGAAGTATATCGGTAATGAGCGCTGGGCAGTAATTCAGCATCACCTTTAAGAGTTATGTTATGATAGGAAACTATACCTATCACTCAAAGCTCCGAACACAGAAAAGCTCTCTTTGGTATCTCTAGTGAATGTCATTTGTATTTTAATGTGTCTGCCGAAACGTTTAGGTGTAGAACACATTGAATGCAGGATCATACCACATACTTTGAAGTATGCGTTTATTATTCAACAATTAAATGTATAAGGAAAGCAGTATGACTTGATTACCCTAGATGGCAAAGTCATCAGAGGAATATGCGGGATCTTTAGGGTATCATGACTATAGACCAAGTAGTGTGTTTATGCATCTACGAAAAAGATGTAAAACGTTATCTAAAAGTAGGAATCAGAAGTTAATTTCATCAACCATCTAACAGGTTTAATCGGTCAGTTCTCACCGTGAGACGGAAATAAATCTCTCTGTACACTTCAGTCAATGCATTTTCACCTTTTTGGCACATTTGGAGCTTCTCACATACCTGTTTTCTCTCAGTTTCGAAATTTAAACAAATTTGATATTTTCTCGATTATTCACGTCGTAGATTTAAAACGTTTTAACCAAATGAATCTAGGATGTAGGTGTTTTTTCACTAGATCCAACTAAATATCTCTGCTTATTTATGTAATCCTCTATCTGTTCTCTGTTTATTTGAATCATTCCACTTCAAGTATAGAAATGGGAGTTCTACGATGGGGTACTTGCCCGTATCCAGAAATATTGAAGTATGGAATTGTGTTTCGATATTTAAGCTATGCAGCTGTCTGGGGCCTTATGTCTGGAGTTTTGCTGCTTGGCGCGGAATATGTACATTACGTGAACAAGCAGTCAAAACAGAATTTCAAACAACATAGTGAATAAATTGAATTTATGATCATTGTTAAATGACAACCAACCAAACTGATGCTGACAACTCTCAAACGTCGGATAAATTCTTTTCTCTAAAATGCTTTTTTCTACTACTTTTTCGTCCCCTTCAAGGTAAAGATAATGGGATCCCTACCGTGAAACTTAGTAATTCTTGAATAATTCCCTTTTTAAGTAACCTTTTTGCGTCCATCAAAGTTTGGGACATCGTCAATAAGCTTCAGGTTATATCACTCATTCCTTTGCTCCTTGAAAATTGCAACGAAGCCTTAAGACGTTAATTAACAAAGTACGTTTATTAATGGTTGGATGGTTGTGAACAAGCCTATACTGCTATAAAATATCTGAATCAAACCAACGGTTCTATCCCATGTCACCAGAATGATCTAACGATGAGCGTTTGTTATTTGAATCCAGTAAAAAACTTACTTTGTGATAAGATCGGGAAAAGCACCTTACAATTTTTTCTACAGGACTCAGTGACTGACAAGACCATAAGTACCAGACACCAGCTGTCTAGTCATGTCTTCATTTTTTAGTTACTACACTGGATGGAAAAAATCGTAATCACAATGCCATCAAGTCCTCCGGTATAAACTCAGAAGCAAAAGTCATCAAAATAATTGAATTATAAGGAACTCTTATCAAAATCATATCTTATTGACAACACATCAAAGATAATTTTAAAAAGTATCGAAACATTTTTATCAGAATAGACCCGAGGCAGAAAAAACTATTAGTTCTACGAAAGGAAACTAACACTTCTCAGTAATCCATACACCTACTATTTCCTTGGGTTGCGCATTGATAGACATTTGTTGGTTCGAAGCAGTCAACAGGAAGTTATCTTTACCTAGGTTTCGTGCTTACGGACACTGGCCAGTAGATTCAAAAGAGCTAGTTTCTCACAATCTTGGTGACCACATTGAAAAATACTCGATATGATTTGGTTTGTACTTACGACAACGATAACATGAAATTGGTTATCATGTAGTGATCAATCATTTTATGTGATCCTGTCTGGCAGGAGGTCAATGGTGGCCCGAACAGTTTAGCACAAAGGTAGCTAACCGCAACATTATGTGATAAAGATCTGAGTTCCTGAATGGGCATCAGTTCTCTTCAAGATGAAGATATGACTTGATACTGAGTTTTAAAGACCACCTCCAAGCAGTAAACAAATGACAACTTTTTCTTATAAACAAATCAAGGGTTTCATGAAGCGCTCTTAGGAATGAAATGAAGGATTATCACGACACTTATCCGGTATTCAACGAGGAACTACATTCAGAAAACTTCAGATTTCTAGAATACTTTGCGATAAGCATGAACTCAGTATAGATGCAGACAAATCTTAAAAGTTTGAGGATTTGGATCATGTTAAATTCATGAACAAGAATGACAATAGCGCCTCAATTATCCATAAAGAAGAAATAACTGCTGCAAACATTGGAACAGTTCATGATAATGAAAGCCATGAATCATATTCTATGATGTTGCAACTTAGTAATTTACACTTGTACATTCCCTTTGAACCTGTCATTTACAATGCATCTCCTTGGAAACTTCAATAGAATGGGTTTTTAAGTCAAGCTGTTAAAGTCATCAATCACACATATCCTTCAAAAGGTTTGAATTTAAGTCACGGACATGAAATGTGATAGTAGCTAACAAAAGGGGATAAGCATCTTGATGTACATCCGTAGGAGTGAACGAACAGAAGAGTCGATTGCAAATTGACACATCTGAAGACATGTTATCTAATAGCGGAAATACTCTCGGTGAACGTTAAATCCACTTATCTCTATAATTCGCTTCAGTGTAATCAATTATACTACATGACCAGATGTTAACTATGTGCCAGAAATAGTAACGGATGATATAATGTGAAGAATGTCAATTCGGTCTAAACTTTTTGATTTTAAAAACCATTGTAGTAGGTGTTACCACACAGTTGGTTTTCGTAGCATTTTGAAAATTGTGAAATCAGTGTGATATAGACATTTGATTTCATTGTCAAAAGTTCAAGCAGCAGATTTTATGGGTGTATTTCATTGTTTGTCACTGAAGGTGTGAAAAGGAAGGACATTAGACACTTCCGATCAAAAAGGTATTAAATTAGTCCCATCTTTACCCACTTTATTCGGTGTAAATCTGTTGCATTACATTGCATCAGGACTTATACGCTAGAAACTAATCTCCAGAATAAGTCAGTACCATCTGACTGGAAGTTGATGGTAAATCCTAGGTCATCACCTTACTAACATTCTTTTTTTCACAGGATAGGTGTAATGGTGACAAATATCATTGTCCAATTTCTTTAAAGAAGCCTTATATCCCTGAAATCCTTATAGCCAATCAACGTCCTCCGAAGGTATATAATCACGTTAGCAGTCACCAGGTTGTTCCTATCTTAGAAGGCTTTGTAACGATTAAAGCCATTACATATCTTTTAACGTCGCAATACGCCTATTATCTCATCATTTTTTATGAATAATCCTAATGAATTTCTCTTCGAACATCTGAGTTAGGAAGCACTGGACAGCTGTTTAATCATAGTATAAGACGGTTCAGTAGTGCACCTACAGTAGTATGCTGAAAGGAAATCAGTACTGTCAAGTCTATTAATAAGCGAAATGATCATTAATAGTACCCACAATACTAAAGAACCACTTATCTGTAAGATTTCAAACATTCCAAAGATTCTCATATCATCAGTAAAAAGCAACAGCCTGAAGGAAGAATGTTCTTTTCAACAACTTTTCAGTGGGTTTATGCTCATAAAATGTTGGTGTACAGAGTAGAAACAAGCCCAGTTTGAGGCGAATACATTTTCAAGATGGAGAGAGATATAGGGGATGCAAGAAAAAATAGTTTTGTCAGTATTATGATGACATTAAATGCAGAGAAGTAATGTGATATTAGACGAAAAGACCAGGAATAAGGAATATAAAACTAGCCTTTATTTGGCTGAAAGGCAAAGAAAAAATAGCTTTTGAACATGATCTTTATGAAGGCGAAATTCAGGTTTGATTAGTTCTATTGCGATAGTCTCAGCTATGTTAATGTGGCGTTAGTGAGCTACACAGTGACGCACAGTGTGTGACAATAAAAGCTTAATCAGCATCTATTTAATTCCCTGTGTTTACTGTGTGCACTAAGGCAAAACTTTTCACCAGTTTCAACTCACCTCTTTCCAACGAAGCCAGTAAATGTTAATGTATCCGACGACGCACCTGCAGAATTGTAAGCAATTTGGTACCTCGTTTCACAACAGCTGCTCAACTGATATATATGCAAACTGAAGAGCTGTGATTAGATAAGCTACTCTTCATACTTAAATTAGCACTGACTGACTGTTGAAGAATTAGCAATGCTGACCTACATAAAACATTCTATTTGACTACTGTGGCTAGGCGGTGATGTGATGCCACTTGAGGCTTCTCTGTTGCATTACATTCGCAGAGACAAAGGCTTTTTTTCCGCTATCATCAGTTCTCTTTCCGGACTACTGTAGGCGCTGTAAGCTAAGATGAAATTTTCAGCATGTCCTTTTCACTCAAGATATCATACACAGTTGTTTTCTATAAAACGGAACTCTGCACAGCATATTGTATGGTGGCCAGGGTAATGAATGTAGAATAATTTCTCAACGTTTTCTTCGTATAGCACCAACTAGTTCTCAAGTGAAGCTTCCCAAACTGACAATAATATGAAACAGAGAGGAAAACATTGTCAACTATGCCAATAGGTGATTTTATCGTAAAGTTAATGAAAAGCATTTTAAATATATAACAAACTGAAGATAATTTGTGTATTATCGGTGTATCATATCCTAACCACCTTACTCTGGTCTATAAACACTCTTTCATTCATCTAAATTTCATATAATTACGTGCTAATACATGAAAGGTATGAAGATTCATATTTCTGAAATGCACAAGGAATCCACTTCATAGGAAAATAACACCAATTGAATAAATTTGATATAGTTGAAATAATAAACGAAGGACAGAGGACATGCTCACACCACTATTGCAGAAGGTCTGGAAGGAAAGGAAGTACCTGCCTATTGATTGGAAGAAGGGTTACCTTGTCAAACTGCCGAAGAAGAGCGACCTAAGTCTTTGCTAGAACTGGCGAGGAATCACGCTCCTGTCCACCCCAAGCAAAATATTATGCCACATCATCTTGGAGAGACTAAAGGATGAACTGGATTCAAAACTACGATCGGAACAGGCAGGCTGGACTCAGGAAGTACAAATCATGTGCAGTCCAAATTGCAACGCTTCGCATCATCATAGAACAGAGCATAGAATGGCAATCAGCTCTCTACCTCAACTTTATCGACCTTGAGAAGGCCTTTGACAGCATCGACCGAGAGGTAATTTGGAAACTGCTTCAACACCAGGGAATACCACAAACCTTTATCAATCTCATCCAATAACTATATGAAGACGCCATATGCCAAGTAATTCACAACGGGAAGCTCAGTGATGCTCTTGAAGTGAAGACAGGAGTGAAACAAGACTGTCTGCTATCACCCATGATATTCCTGATTGTAGTGGATTGGATCATGCAGCAAACAGTGAAGAGCGAGAAGAGGGGGATCCGCTGGACTGCGGAAAAGAACCTAGAAGATCTGTATTTCGCCAACGATGACTTGTGTCTAATGTCACACAAACTTGAAGATTTACAGGCGAAAACTAAGAAGTTGACAGAAGAGGTGGGGCAGCGAAGACGGGACTTCAAGTCAATATAGAGAAGACAGAGATGATGATGATACCCAACCAACAACAACAAACTCCAATCACCATCAACTGGAGAAACTTAAAGTAAGCAGCCTCCTTCACCTATCTAGGCAGAACTGTTTCAACTACAGGCGCACAGACAAGGACGTCAAAGCCAGGATCGGAAAGAAAGCCTGAAACCAGTGTGGAGATCTTCTGCATCCGGCATAAGGCGTGAACAACATCCGGATTTTCAACATCAACGTCAAGTCAGTGCTTCTGTATGGCTTAGAGACTTGGCGCTTTACGAAAGGCATTTCCCACAAACTACAGACATTCATCAACAACTG